GCCATAAAGCAGAAGGCAACTGATCTCGAGATACACACACACACACACACACACACTCACTCACACACACACGCACGGCTCAACCTGTAACAATAAGTTAGTAATTGCTTATACAAGGGCTTAATGGCTCCAAAGTAAGATACAACAATCTTCATACACTTTCCTCTAAGGAAACCTTTTTGGATCATTTTTAGCAGATTACTCTTAACAAGCAATACAAAATAAATTATTTAGGATCTACCTTTGGGCCAGGCTTGTGTGGTGGTGGAAAAATTTGAAATGATGGTGGTAGGAAGATGTAATGGAGGTAGGTTTGGTGTTAGAATATTGAATGTAATAAATGATAGTGAACAACCTTATAAAATAAAATTTTAAAAAATTAAAAAAGAAAATAGATCAATCAAAGTTAATTTGATATATCCCGGTGATGGATCTCACTGCTCAGGGTTTGCCTCCAGTAGTGAATGCAGAAGTCGCAGCTGTGATAGAGGGCTGGATGGATGCAGGTAAGTGCAGGTGAAACTGGTGACCCAGATTCAGGTGTCTGAGTCAAAAGGCTGGAGGCAAGCTTGCATGTGAGTGGACTGATTCCATCTCCAGCAGCACCAGGAGTGACCCCTGAACACCAAGCTAGGTGTTCAAGCCCCCAGATGACTAGAAAAGAAGACTGGAGTATTGATCGATCAAAATCCCCATGGTAATGGCGTGGTTTGCCCCAGCTGTGAAAAATGTCTTTCACCACAGAGGAAACGGATCTAAGCCCTGAAGAATCCGTCCTTCCTGCCACTGAAAATGAACCAGAGTGGTGGCTGGCAGCTCTGCAGTTCCTTATAAAGGGCTGGTGATGAACATGAGCTAGACAGGCTGGTGATGTGGCCTAATAGGCTGCCACTTGCTCTGCTCTAGGTTTGAGTCCCACCACCACAAGAAAGGACCTTAACCCACATTATTTTCTAAGAAAAAAAATGGTCAACAAGTATATGCAAAGGTGCCTGACACCTAGAAAGTGAAGTCCATCCCTCAGTGAGCGCTGTCTGAATGACATGACCAAAAGGACAAGAGTAACCAGATGTTGGGAAGGGCACGGGGCAGAGGGATGGACCAATCGGTTGGACAATGTGATTGGTATAGCCACTGTGGAAGACAGTTTCTTGAAAAATTAAAAGTAGATCTATTCTGCGAGCCTACAGTCCTGCCTCTGGGTCGAGAGTGAAGAAATGAGGGGAGTTTCTCAGAGACACTCACTCTTGAGCCCACTGGAACATGGATCACAGCAGCTGAGAGAAGGAAATAACCAAAGTCCTATGCGCGGATGGATGGACAGGTAAAGATAAGAGCACACCAGGCTCATGCTATAGCACACTGTGCACTGTACAGTACTCACATACATCCACACATGAAACATGGGTGACTGCATGCTCATGGAAATGAAACCTGAAACCCAGCCCCGAGTGATGACACAGGGGAAGCTGGAGGGCTTCGTGGGGAGAATGAGGCCAACCTGAAAGACCATGGGGAGGGGGCACTGGAGATGCTGTTTTAGATGCTGCCCAGCTGAATGACTGAGTCATGTTGTCAGCCAATATGGCGCAACAGAAAGGAAAAAAAAGTAAATGGGGTGCTGACCACTAGGACTCTTGGTAGGGAGCCCGACATCTGAAAAGAAAGACTGTAAAACCCAAATTGCTCCCAAGACGACTGGCTGCGTCGGAGAACCAAATATTAAGGAAATACAAGCGTCTCCTTTTCTCACAAAAAAGCATGTGGGATGTCCAGCCCGCTGGCCAGGTTACCAACTAAACTGGGTTTGTGAAAAATAACCAGGAAAACATTTATTATTTCTTCTTTATTGTTTTGGGTTTTGGGCTGGAGAGATTGCACAGCGGGTAGGGCGTTTGCCTTACAAGCAGCCAACATGGCCAACCCGAGTTCGATTCCTCCGCCCCTCTCGGAGAGCCCGGCAAGCTACCGAGAGTATCTCGCCCGCACGGCAGAGCCTGGCAAGCTACCCGTGATGTATTCGATATGCCAAACACAGTAACAACAAAATCTCCAATGGAGACGTACTGGGCCCGCTCGAGCAAATCGATGATCAACGGGAGGGCCTTTACCTTTACCTTTTACCTTTTTGGACTAAACCCAGCAGTGCTCAGAGCTGGCTGTCTGCTCAGGATTCACACCTGGCCGTGTTCGAGGAACCACATGTGGTGCTGGGGATCACACTGAGGTCAGCCATGTGCAAGGCAAACATCTCAAACCTTGTGCTATCTGTCCTGCCTCTTAATTTGGAAAAAAATTTAAATGTATTAGGAATATAAAAAGAAAAAAACAACCCTCCACCATACCGTCCAAACCAGAACAATCACAGTTAATGACTTGGGTATTATTTCTGAAATTTTCATTCAATCTGTCTTTTTTTTACATTGCTGAAATTAAATCAACTATGCATCATCAAGCAAAGGCTAATTTCCCCGGCTTTATATATCACAAACACTTTTTCAGCTGTACTATTTTGCTGATTTTCTTGTTGTTATTGGTTGGTTGGTTTTGTTTTGGGGCCACACCCAACAGTGCTCAGGGATTACTCCTGGTTGCGCATTCAGGGGTCACTCCTGGAGGTGATCAGTGTACTATATGGGATGCTTGGGATTGAATTCAGGTTGGCTATGTGCAAGGCAAGAGCCTTACTCACCATACTATCTCTCTGGCCCCCTATTTTTTCTTTTCTTTTTGGGTCACACCCAGCAATGCACAGGTGTTACTCCTGGCTCTGCACTCAGGAATTACTCCTGGCGGTGCTCAGGGGGACCATATGGGATACTGGGAATTGAACCTGGGTTGGCAACGTGCAAGGCAAACGCCCAACCCACTATGTTATCGTTTCAGTCCCCCATTTTGCTTTTTTTGGTAATATAAACCAACCCTCACTTGGGTAACCAGAATATTAGGAAGTGCACAATTAGAGACTGGATTTGTTTTGGCGACTTCTGACCGAGTCTCTGATCTCCACTGCAGTTGACCCTCTTCCATTTTTCTCTGGTTGAAGCAAACTGATGAAATGGGAGTTAAGTGGCACTGAGCAGGGCTGGATGTTTAAACCAGTGCTTGTTAGTTGGTTAAGCTGTCACCTAGCGTCCTTGTTACCTACTGATTTAGTGCCATCCTGAGTTCCTCAGCTTTATTATTTTCAGATGCTTCAAATCTGTTGCCAATTTCATTTTTCAGATTTTGCTTCAATTCTGGATAGCCCACAGCTGGTTTTTCCTACGTCTGATTTCATATCCTCTGTTGTCCTGACTCTTCCCAGATCTCCCTCCCCCCACCATCTTCCTTACTGTCCAGAATGTGTCAGCAAACTACTTGCTCTCTTGACTATTTTCAAGCCTGCCAAACCCTTCTTTACTCTTCAGATTTGTTTCTCGACTTCTCCTCTCTGATATGAGCCAGTGCCTTCCAGTTCTCCTCAGGACTCTTGCTTCTCCATTGCTACTAAATGCCAGAGGCTCTCAAGGCATGTCCTGATCCTGCTCCCTGCTGCCCAGGCTCTGTAACTGTCCACAGTCATGTCAAGAACATTCCAGGCAAGTGCCTCACCCCATCAGTAGGCACCGCCACGCTTTGCCCTTCACTGCTTCAGGCAGGGCCTGCCTTTAGATCTGACCTGCCATCACTTGGGTCCATCTTCCTGACCATCCCAGAGACAAACTCGTCTTCCTGGCATCCAATGCCAAAGCCCTGTGCTGCTGGCCACCGCTGGACTTCTGACCAAGTCTCTCATCTCCACTGTATGTGACCCTCTTCCATTTTTCTCCGGTTGAAGCAAATTGATTTGCTCATTCTCCTGGTCCGTGGAGGGACCCGACTGGGTGGGTGCAAGTCCAACTCCTGCACCAGTCGACTCTGGTGTCAGTGCGGCTCTGCCAGGACTGTGGCTGTTCCACTGACCTCACAACTCATCACCCTCAGCTCTTGGCACTTGCCAAGCACACTGGCTATTCTTGCATCTCCCGATTTTTATGAATTAGAGGAGTTTGTCTGGTTTGTCTGGAGTCCTAAGTGAAAGACACGGTCAGTGGGTTCAGGAATGGATTCCTCCACACTCCTGCAGCTCTCTGGCGAGGGCCCTGTCGGGAAACCCGGCCCTGTGTGCCTGAGACATTCCCTTTGGGGATCCCACAGAACCCCTCTGGGGCCAGTCAGAGGTACCTCACTTAAACTTCACAGACATCTGTGGTGCCCCTACTGCACTCAGCTTATTTTGTGGGGCGCTGGTTTAGATTCAGAGATGGCTAGGACAAGCCCCGAAGCTCCAGAATGCATGTGGTAGTGGGGGACACCAGCAAAACAAAACGAGACCAACAATGCCTCGCTGAAGAAGTGATGGACATTAGGCACGGCTGCAATCATCTGGATGGTCTCCTTCTCTAGCTACGGATGTCATAGATGACAGCTCTGCCCCTCCGACCTTCTCACCCATGACCTCCGCGGGCAGAGGTAGCACCTGGAGGACAGAAGCCCCAGGGCAGAGCCTCGCCTCCAGCCGACGTCCCCAAACTCTAGGCACCCACCGCGAACAGCTCTGACTGCGCCAAGGCGGGGCTAAGCATCCCGCTCCTTATCACAATGCGCTGCTGGGCCTCGGGGTCCCTCCCCGTCACTCTCAGAAAGCACAGGCGTTTCCTAAACTGGCGCGGGCAGAGATGCTGGGGGCGCCGGCTCTGCAGTAGCCGCTCCCGAAGGGCCCTAAGTACATCTGCTCCTCCGCGGCGGTAACGTCCTCCGCCGGCGTCCACGCACCTGAGACCCGGTCACTCTGCTCCCCGCCCAGCCCCGCCTCCCGGCGCCAGCGCGACTCCCCGCCCACCGCGGCCCCGCCCACCGCTGTAGACACGCCCCTCACCTCCGCGCGGCACGGAGAGCGTCGCGCCTCTCTGACGTCATCATCGCGCGCCTGGTCGCGGCCGTCCACCTGCTGGCGCGTCTGCAAGTTCCAGCCGTCCGCGTGCTGCCCGGCGTCCGCTGATCGTCCAGGCCCGCGGGGGTCCCGGCTCTGCGGCATGTCGATGCTGGCTGAGCGTGAGTGCGGGGCGCGGGCGGGGCGGGCTCGTGGGTCGTGGGTCGTGGGAGAGGCCGCGTGGGGCCCCGGCACGCCGGCGAGCTCCGTGTGGTCAGCTGGGCTCTCCCGCGAGAAGCCACCCCCCGGCCCGGTGGTCCGTGGGGGGAGTGGTGTAGTTCAATTAGCTCAAAATTGATCCGCGTGTTTCTCCGCCTTCGCATCTCTTTTCTCTCGGTCCCGGAACTTGCAGACCTCGTTCTCACGTGGGCGCGCTCCCTGGGCTCAGCCCCCGGGACTGGACCCTTCTCAGCTTCTGGGACGGCGTCTGGATTGTGCAGGCCCTCGGGGCCTTCGGCGCCCACGCTGCTGCTCATTTTTTGTCTCTTCCCTCGACCTCTGTTCCAGTAACTTCTGCGGGTCTCGGAAAACTTGCCCTGGGAGGTGGCCACCTCGAGTGGGCACTGTTGTGGGTGCCAGCAGCTCTGAATCAGAAGGTGGCAGGATCTGACTGGTTCCTCTCTCCGCCTCGACTCCACATCCTCACACCCATGCCAGCATTTTGTCTTGTAGCTTTAGAGAATTGCTGCCCGTGGACCTGGCATGGTTGGTGATCAGTGCTTGGGGCTGGCTGGGATTGCGGCAGCATTGGTTGCTGCAGCCCACTGCGTGTCCCCTCCACCGCCCCCCAGCACCCGAACGTCTTCTGTCTCCACTTCTGGGCACTGTTGCCTTTGGCTGCCCTTCCTTGTCTTGGGGTCTCTGTCTTGCTTTCCTGTCTCTTCACCATAGATGCTTGTCCTGTTTGCAGATCTCCCCATTACGTCCTCAAATTTAAAAACGTCCTTTATCCTGTACTTCTCTGATGAGCAGAATGTTCTCTTTGTGGGGCTCCCCTTGAAGGCAGAAGCTCTCCAGCTCCAGCCACCCTGTGGCTGAAACTGGGATTTCATTTCTCACCCTCACTTCCATTCTTCTCGTGGATATTTGTCCAGACACTACTTTTTAATATAAGTTCTTTTTCTTTCTGGACACTTGGAATTATTGCACTTTGAAACTATCCCCCTCAAACCATGCTCGGTGCTTGTTGGAATGAAATGTTCAGCTTTGGCCTCCTTAAACTTAGCTGTGGCTTGGTTGAGTGTGTGTGTGTGTGTGTGCGCGTGTGTGTGCGTGTATGCATGCATGGTGTCAGATCCACAGCTGTGGCTTCCCTGGCTCTTTTGATACTTCTGTCTTTGTCAGAAAGTAAATGTGGAGAAAAGGCCTTGACTCTCGGGACTCACAAGCCCTTCCGGAGTCCGCAGGATCATGGCATAAGCCCAGTGGTGCTGAACAAGGAGTAACGGGACAGTGAAGCCCCTGGCCACTGTCCTGGGAGGATCATGTACCGTCAGCCCTAGAGTGTCCCACGGTTCCAGGGTGGTTATCTCCGAAGAGGGTCTGCATTGTCAGGCGCACTGCCCACCCCTGGGCCTGCCCTCGCTGCTGTCACCCAGTGTTCATGGATAAGAATTTACACGCAGGGAAAGATGATCAAGGAAAAGAGTGTGAACAGGGTGCGGGGAACCTAGGTCAGCTCACAGGGTCCTCAGAGAGCCCTGCCTGTGACTAGTGGACAGTGAATCCCTCTCCCAGTATCCCTTCAGCAGGACCCTCAGTCTCCTTGTGTACCTGATTGTGTCCTGGGCACGCGATGTGGCAGCTGAGACCTTCAATGTCCCCAAGGTGGGCACGTGACTTCTGAGCATGAGGTCACTGCCCAGAGAATGTGGCAGGAACCCTTTTCTGTTTTGCTTGTTGGATTTGGGGGCCAGACCCCGCAGTGCTTGGGGCTTACAGCAGGTTCTGTGCTCAGAGGTCACTTCAGGCAGGGTTTGGGGGGTCCCTGCGTTGCTGTGTGCTGTGCAAGCACCCCTGCCCTCTGTCCTGCCTCTCCAGCCCTAGGGGAACCCTTTTATTCTGTCGACTAACATAGGTAGTCGGTTGAGAATGTGCAGCTGGTGAGACCAGCCACGGGAGGGACCTGACCAGAGCACAGCCTTTGTGCTGGCCGCTGAGGGGGTCCCAGAGCACACCTGTGCCCAGGTCAGTGCAGGCACACGGTGTGTGTGCTTGTTAGGCCTGAAGGACAGATTGCTGATGGTATGCTTTGTCCCTTCTAGGCCGGAGGAAGCAGAAGTGGGCGGTGGACCCACAGAACACAGCCTGGAGCAATGATGAGTCCAAGTTTGGCCAGAGGATGTTGGAGAAGATGGGGTGGTCGAAAGGAAAGGTATTTCAGAGAAGAGCAGGATAGCTGCCCCACTGCGCACACCAATCGGGGTCACAGACGCTGATCTCTTAGGAGACTGCGAGAAATACGGGCCGTAGCCCGAGCACAGCGGGGAGGGTGCTTGCCTTTACATAGCTGACCCAGGTTCAATCCCTGGTATTCAATCCCTTTTGTCCCCTGAATCCTCCACGAGTTGGTAGTGCCTGAGTGCAGAGCCAGGAGTAATGGCTGAGCATTGCAGGGTGTGACCTAAAAACAAAAGCAAAGGAAGAGATAGGGAATCAGCAGCAGGAAGTGATTTGGAGGAAAAGCTGAGTCATCACATCTTTCAGGATGAGAAAGTCAGATTCGCATGGATGCGTGTCAGCGATGAAGTGGGCCTGACTGGCCTGGCCTGGGAGTGGGCCGTGGCATGTGTGGCTGTCCGGCTGTGTGCACTAACGATGCCCTGGGCCTTGGCGCCACCCTGTGTGCTGAGAGCCCTCGTCTGCCCGGGCTCCTTCCATGGCTCTGCTGGCCCACCTGCGCTCCCACTGTCCTTCCTTTCCCACCCTGCTGCCCCTCGGCCTGCCCACTCCTATCTCTTCCTTCTCTCCCCAGCCCCTCTGCATGTGGCGGCAGCCCGGGCCTTGCTGTGCTCAGGTGAGCTGGGTCACCTGCATCAGATCCGGGCCGTGTGTTTTGAAAACTGCCCTTTCCTGCAGCTGGTCCCTCGCTGACGGTCCCTCCTCCCTGCCCCTTATGTTTTGGGGGAGGGGAGGTCTTTCTTGCTGACTCAGAACCCCCACACTGCCCCTCTCCTGCTGGGCGCCACTCTGCCGCTGGCCCCCTTGCTTTTGGTCTGAGAAAGGACATTGCCCTTCGTGGCTTCTGGCCTCCCCTCCTTCTCCATGTGACTGCTGTTGAAACGCTGTTGCTCGTCCCACTCATCTTCAAAGTAAGGCCAGAGGTGCTAGAGAGATCCCTCAGGGCTAATGTGGCCAACCGGAGTTTGATCCCTGGTACTGCATAGGTCCCCCCGAATTCTTCCAGGAGTGATCCCCGAGCACTGCGGGGTGTGCCCCAAAAACCAGAAGAAGAAAATAAAAGGTCAAATTCCATCCAGGCTTTTCCAGGCCCTGTGAACCTTGATTGTGTCTTATACATGACTTCATCCTGCCGGGGCTGTCAGGAGCCCCCAGCGTCTCTGGGCCCCTCCTGGAGGGCTGTTCCCAGAGGCCGGGGTTCCAAGGGCACTGCACGGTGCTGTTCTCCAGGGCCTTGGTGTGGCCAGGTCTGGCCCTTACTCTCGGAACCTGTTCCTGCACGTCCAGTGCCATGAGAGCCCCATCAGCGCGTCTGTGATTCAGCCAGGGGTGGCCATGGGGGCGAAGGGGCCTTCGGCTGATGGGTGCTGCCGCTGTCTCTCCCGCAGGGGTTGGGCGCGCAGGAGCAGGGCGCCACAGAGCATATCAAGGTCCGGGTGAAGAACAACAACCTGGGCCTGGGCGCTACCGTCAACAACGAGGTAAGTGTGAGGCTGAAAGCACTTGCTCCTTCGCCTCCTCCCGGGGCTTGTCTTCTGGATACCAGTTGGCCCAGGGGCCCTTGACCAGGTCTCCTGGTCTAGTGCCCACTGACTGCTGTGCCCTGTCGTCCCCACCGTTCTCTTTCTCACCACAGCCCGGCTGACTTTGTGGCTCTGCGTGTCAGAGTGCCACAGAAATGCTCCTTCTGGGACTTGTGCTCCTGGTTCTGATGGGCATCTGCAGGGTGTCTATCTTTCCCTGACCTGCTCTGATTCCAACAGGCAGGAACAGCAGGCCCGGTTCTTTGCACTGCGTGGCCTTGGACACTGACCCCATGCATGACCGGCTTGGCGTGTAACTGGTAGAAGGCAGTGGCAGCTGCGAGTCACAGCAGCAATGGGGCAGCCCCGCTCTGCACCTCGACTCCAATTTACACCCTGGAGGAAGGGTCGCTGCCAGGCTGGCTTTGAAGGTAGCAGTGGCAGGGGATCATTGTTACCCTCCTAAACTCACCTGGCCGTCAGGGGCACTCGGCAGCATTCTCTGAATGGATGAGGCGGAAGCCAGGGAGACGCTTGGGGGCTCAAGTCTGGGGGACCTGGGGTCAGTCCCTGGCCTTGCTCGGCCCCGACAGCGCTAGCAGCTGTGACCCAAAACCCAAACATCCTCCACGCTTCCTCCATCTTCCCCCCAGGTGAGTTGGGGACATTGGTTCCTTTGGATCAAAGGCTGCTTTCTCCACGTCACTGCCTATGGCCTCCAGTCCCCTGAATATTTGCTAATGGCAGTCTTTCTCCGTCTTTCCCCATTGTCCCACATGCGCTTCCAAAGGAAAGGAGACTTATTTGCTCTCTCGCCCCATCAGCACGCTGCCGCCTAAGGGCCTGGCTGGAGGTTGGTTACGGTGGGAGTATCCGCTTTTGGAATCGGGGCTGACGCTCCCAAGAAGTTCCTCTTTGATAACTGATCCTTTGTATTTTGAATGCGTGTTATTTCTTGTCCATTCCAGTTTGCAAAACATTTTGACAAAACATTTCGTGTGAAATTTTCTGTTTCATATATTCAGGACAACTGGATTGCTCATCAGGATGATTTTAACCAGCTCCTGGCTGCGCTGAACTCTCATCACGGGCAGGAAACTGCAGGTAGGGGGGCCCTGGCACCTCGGTGGGAGCCTTGCCAGCTCTTTCTGTGGGGCGCCGGGGGGCGGGGGGTGTCAATACTCATTTTCACTTACGTGTTTGTGGTGCTTTAGTCCTAAGCAGACACTTGTTTTCCAGTCAGGAGTTTGATAATGGCAAGACAGATTATTCCAACCTCAGACAATAAGGTGACTGTCATGAAGTAGGACTGAGGGCCAGAGAGATGGAGGGTGGACAGGACTCTTGGCTTTTATGTGACCGACCCAGGTTCCAGCCCCTGCCCCCAGAAGGTCCCCTGAGCCCTGCTAGAAGTGATCCCTGAGCACTGGCGGGTGTGTCCCCAAAACCAAACAAAGCAGAACAGAAACAGTTGAGAGACCCAGTTGAGTAGGCCCTCAGGCCTTGGTGGGAAGGCGTGCTGAGCTGGGAGACCCTGAGACTGGTGGGAAGGCGTGCTGAGCCGGGAGACCCTTGGACTGTGGCGGGAAGGCGTGCTGAGGGGCCTGCCCATGCCCGTTCTGCACTAAGACAGACCTGACTCCTCAGGAGAGCCTCAGTGCTCGGCGGGGAGGAGTCAGTCTCGAGATGCTCAGCAGGAGAAACTGCCCCAGGGCGGCTGGAGCTGACTGCGGCTCTCCCGCATCAGTCGTGAGAGGGGCTGTGGGCGCTGTGTCCCCCCACTTGACCCTTCCGCTTCCCTGGCCAGTGTAGGAGCAGCTTCCTGTCACTGAGCTTTTCACCGCGTCTTGGAAGGCCGGGCTGTCATGGCCATGGACTCTGCTGAGGCAGAAGTCCAGGCGCTTCTCTCCCGCACCCTGTCTGCGGCCGTCCATGAGTGTGCACGCACCATCCAGCACTCTCCACCCCGAGAACTGCCGTTGTCTCCAGGGGCTCTCTGAATGTGACCACAGGGCAGTGTGGTCCTGCGAGTATCTCCAGGACCAGGTCACCTCCCTTGCCATTGCGCCCGAACGCCTTCAGGATTGGGGCCACCTTGCCGTGCATTCGCCAACAGGGCACCTGGGGCCCTCTGAGTGCTGCTGCCGTTGCCCTCCCAGCCCTGGTCTCTTCTCACTGCGGACAGACCGCGGACCTAGGCACGAGGGGAAAGGCATTCTCTTTCACTCTTGCTCTCGCATGCTCTCTCTCCCCCGCTCCACCCTCTCTCTCTTTCCTTCCCCCGCTTTCTCGCTCGCTCTCCCTCTCTCTTTCTCTGGTTCCTTAGCCTGGTCTTTGTCTGGCTTCGTTTTTGTGCTCAGTAGAACCCTACTTTTGCCATTAGGGTGCCGTTGACTTCAGAGAGGCTATTAGGAGGAATTTTCATTTCCTAGGTATTTTGGAAGAGCTCGTAAATCTTCCCTGAAGGTTTTCTGGATCTCACCAGTGGACACCACCTCTGGACCTGGGCTTTGGTTCTTCGGGAGATTCTTTTTTTTGTCTTGTTTTACTTTTGGGTCACATCTGGTGATGCTCAGGTGTTACTCCTGACTCCCTGCTCAGGGATCATTCCTGGCGGTGCTGTGGGATGCCGGGGATTCGACCTGGGTCAGCCGCACGCAAGGCAAATGCTCTCCCCGCTGTGCTGTGGCTCTGGCCCCTCTGGGGAGCTTCTTCATTACTCCTTTGGTGCCCTCACTACTGGTCTCGCTGCGTTTTGCCCCTCGTCTCTCTCAGTCTTGGAGGTTTTATGATGTTGAGATCCCGCCCATTCCTGGGGGTCCCCAGTTCAGGGGCATACAGTCACCCATAGTCACCTGTTCAGTATTTACTGTCAGTTCCCCCCTTTTCATCTCTGACTCCTTTTGGGGGATTTTCTCTCTTTCCTCATGACTCTGGCCAAGGATTTGTCAGTCTTGCTCTTCAAAAACCGGCTCCTGGTTTCCCTGAGCCTTTGCATTGCCTTATTGATTTCAGGATCGTTGATTTCCACTCTAATTTTTACTGTTTTCTTCTTTCTGTATACCTTGTTTATTTGCTGTTCTTTTTCTAGTTTCTCAAGCTCTGAGGTTTTTCTGGTTTCCTGGGGGAGCCTTTGTTATTGCCGATTTCCCCTTTAATACTGCTTTTGCTGGATCCTCTAGGTGCTCTCTTCATTTTCATTGATTTCAAGGAGATTTTGTTTTTTTTTGGGTTTTCTTTTGGCTTTTTGTGTCACACTGGGCCATGCCCAGGGGTTTCTACTTGCTCTGCACTCAGGAATTACTCCTGCTGATGCTTGGGGAACCATATGGGATGCTGGGGCTCGAACTCGGGTTGGCCGCATGTAAGGCAAACGCCCTTCCCACTGTCCTATCGCTCCAGCCCTGAGGATTTTGCTTTTAATGTATTTTTTCACTTAGGCACCGTGATTCATAGAGTTACTCCTAGTTGGGTTTCACGGTATGTGATGTCTGTCTCAGTCTCTTTCTACATTCTTCAGCTTACAAGCTCTCTGGTCTCTCCCTGCCTTTGAGTTTGCTGTTAGCTTGTGTGAGTGTTTTCCAGCCTTTCGCTCTATGTCCCCTGCCCTCTCCTCCCCCCCTCCCCCCCCCCCACTCTTCCCTCTCCTTTGTCTCCCCTCTCATCCCCACCCACCCAGGAAGGTTAGAATGTGGAAGCATCATCCAGCCTGGAGGACCGTCTTGCCTGCCCTTCGCACTTATCTGAGAATTGACTGGGCATTGGTCAGTGTTGGACTTCGAAGGCTGCTGGAGCCGCCACATCCCTGTGAAAGGGAGTCACCGGACTTGTGTGACATTTTCTTTCCTTGTCCGACAGATGCCTCGGACCGCAAGGGAAAGAAATCTTTCAGCCTTGAGGAAAAGTCCAGAATCTCCAGAAGCCGTGTGCATTACACGAAGTTCACCAAAGGTGCTTGCGTCTCTCTTCCTCGGACCCGCTCTGAGCTTCTCTCCCCTCCTCGGACCTGCTCTGTGCGTCTCTCCCTCCAGGCACCCGCTCTGTGTGGGCTTCTTCAGGCTCAAGCTCTCACCCGCACCTCCCAAGGGTGGGCAGCCGCCCCAGCTGGGCTGTGCATGTCTTGTGCGGTGCCCGGTAGGGCAGGAGCCTGAGCTCCGGAGTGGGGCAGCAGACTGGGTGTCGGAGGCAGAGCAGGACGTGGTGTGGTCCCACTTCTGTTGCTCACAGGTGGCAGCTCCCTGAGTCCTCACCCAGTTGGTGCTCCCGCTCCCTTGTGCGCTGTCCTCGGAGACCACTAGGTGGCAGCCCTGCACCACCTGCTGTGTTGGCTACTGGCAGTCTGGCGCGCCAGGCGGCTGAGGGGCTGTGTATGCGGCTCACTGGACCCTGGCCTGGGCACTGCTCCTCTCCCACCACCAGCCAGGCCACAGCAGAGACTCGACCTGCCCCGCCTCTGCCACTCTCTGCCCTCGTTTCCTGTGTTTGCCAGTGCAGCCCCGCCCGAAGTGCTCGGTACTGGCTCTGTCCTTTGGGGAAGCTGGCGGATGGGGTCTCAAGTGAGGATCCAGGGGACTGGAGCAATAGCACAGTGGTAGGGCATTTGCCTTGCATGCGGCCAACCCGGGGCTGATTCCCAGCATCCCATATGGTCCCCCAACACTGTCAGGAATAATTCCTGAGCACATGAGCCAGGAGTAACCACTCTACATTGCCAGGTGTGACCCAGAAAGCAGAAAATAAAAAGAATAAAATAAAGTGAGGTCCAGGCCATGTGCCACTTACACACTCGGCCTTCTGTCCCAGGGCTTAGCTTGGGACCCCTGGTGTGCCCCCTGCCCTCCCGTGGGACCGGCTGAGGAGGGTCCATCTCGACCTGGGCGCCAGCTGCACGGCTGATGCTGGGGGACGGTGGCTAAGTGGTGGTGGCCTGGATGCTTCCTGCAGAGTGGGTGCAACTGGCACCTCGGCCACCTGTCCTGTCACTGGGGTTTCTGATCTCCGGGCCAGGGTGGACTTCATCCCGTGTGTGTTGGTGCTCTGGGGTTTTGCTTGGGTTCTGCCCAGCACGTTTCACACACAGCAGCTGCTGCGAGCAAGGAAGTGGCTGGGCTGGGAACTGGGGTGAGAGCTGGAGGGTGAGATGAGCTGGGAAGTGGGCAGTCGCAGTGGGCTCTTTGGGATGGGTCTCTAGGCAGAACCGGTCAGAACTGGATGGGGCGGCTGCCTAGCCCTGGTGATGGCTGGCTCTGTGTGGAACCAGGGTGGTTTGTCTCTCTCTTTTGGGGGGAGGGGGGGCCACTCATGGAGTAGTTGACAGTTTCTTCTCCTACATCCTCTTGCCCTTGGAGTTTCCTGTGTCTCTGCTGCTTGCTGATGGATGTTGGGACTCAGCGGCACCATGCTCTCTTTCAGGGAAGGACCTGTCATCTCGGAGCACCACAGATCTCGACTGCATTTTTGGGAAAAGGCACAAAAAGAAGACCCCAGAGGTACTGAGCTGTGAGGCCACGCCATCTGCGCTGTGACCTCCCCTCTCTCCGGGGTCTGTGTGTGACGGTTCCCTCTGTCCCGGGTCTGTGCTGTGTGACTCCCCTTTGTCCCGGGTCTGTGCTGTGTGAGTGTTCCTCTGTCCTGGGTCTGTGTTGTATGACTCCTCTCTCCCAAGTCTGTGTGAGTTTCTTTTGTCCCGGTTCTGTGCTGTGACCGTCCTCTCTCTCCTGGGTCTGCACGGAGAACCACTGCTGTAGCCCCAAACCCAGAACAGACAAAGCCCTCCAGACCACAAAGAATCAGGGTTCAATATCCAGAACCGTCTAGGGCTGGATGTGGCCTGGGCCCAGAGGGACAGAGCCTGGAGGCCGTGGGGTCTCTGTCAGCCAGACCCTCCCTAGCCCAGTGCACTGGCCAGTATCACAGAGAGTGAAGGGCCGATGGACAGTCTGCCAGAAAGTCCAGCCAGTCCCCTCTGAGGGGACCGTCTGCAAGCGATTCCCACCTACCCTGAGGCCCCATCCAGCCCTGACCCCAAACCAGGCTCCCCTAGGACCCGGGAGTTGCCGAGCTGCAGGGATGGTCATTCATGGCTATGTGCTGGTTGGGGGCGTGACAGGGGGACAGGCTTGCAAGATCCACACACCGGGGGCAGGCAGTGCCCCCACCCCCCAACACACATACACAGAAATGGGGACATTGAGTCCCGCTGCGTGTCAGAGGCAGGGCCTCTGCAGCCGTGACAAAGGAAGAGGAGCTGGTGTCGGCTTCTGGGCACTCATGTCGGTGGCCTGTTAATCAGCGGGATAAATTACTGCTGCTCACGGGAGGGGCTGCCGGGGTCCCTCCCGCCGTGCGCTCCTTGGGGGTTTTGTTAAGGGCTGAAGGGAGACTGAGGGGCGCTTTGATTTATCTGCTCCCTTTCCCTTTGGGTCACTCCCCGGCGCGGAAACAGCCGAGTTGGCTTAATGTGTCGCCATTAGAGACCAGACGTTCGCTGGGAGAAGCGTCAGGCCGCAGGATGAAAAATGCCCCCTGATTGGCTAATTAATCAGTCAAAGCGGAATGACATGGCTCTCGGCTTGAGGGACTGTGCGCCGGAGAAGCAGGCTGCTGATAAATGGCTTTCCAGCAAATTCATACATCAAGGAAACTTAGTCATTTTTTAACTCCAGTTTGTGTGACTGCAGTTTCTCCCAACTTTTCCTTTTCTGCTGCCCTTGCTATTTTAGCTCTGCTTTTTGCCTTTGATCGAGGAACGGGATTCTAGAGACGAGAAAAGAGCATGCTTTCGACTTCTGTCTCCCAGGCTGTTTGGTTTTTCTCTGTGGCAAGATAATCAATTGGTGAAAATCAGCGCTTTATCCCAAAATAGTTTCTGGACTTGAATTTCCCTGATTTCCTCCGCAGCTGATTGCCCTGGGTCCTGCCACACGCTCCAAGCTCGGGGAGCCCGGGCAGACGGGGGCCTGGCCCTGCTCACCGTCCGTCTGCTGGTGGCCTGGAACAGCCCACGGGCAGGCACGTGCCCTGTTTCCCTGTGCTTATAGGGGACGGCAGGAAGGTCACCTCTAGGCTTACTGGGAGGTCAGGGGGGAGCCCCCTGCTCTCAGGGCTGGGCTCGGGGTCAAAGGGGATCCCCCTTTCATGTGCTTCCACTCCGGGACAGCCCCTGTTCCGTCCCTGGGTCCTGCATAGTCCCTTCAGTGCCACTCTTGGTCGCTCCCAGCCTTGGCTTCTCTGGCCCAGGCTGTGTCCACTGTTGCCCACTCAGGGCACCACCTTCCTGGTGTCGGCCAGGCCTGCGCGTGTTGCAATGATGGTTTTTGTAGTCTTGCTGGTCTCGGGGTGAATGCTCTCTCCAGTGGCACTCGGGGACTGTCCCAGCTCGGTGTGATCACATGTCCCTGCCGGCAGAGTGGAGCCTACGGGAGGGGGCACAGAGGGACATGGGAGAGCGATGCAGGGAGGGACATTGACTCCAGGGCCCAAGGGTGCCACCTAGCTGGAAAAAAGGGACGTGGTTGCCAAGCTTTGTGGCCCGTGTGCTCCTGGGAGCTCCGCACCTGGCTGACTGGGGTGGGGGCGCCCAGCTGGCTGGGCTGTGGGTGGCCCCAGTGCCCTGGCTGGTTCTGAGTTTGTGTCCCCACACCCTTAACATGGCCTCGCTCCTCCTTTTCATCCACCCTCTGCTGGGCTCAGCGCCTCACACTGCAGATAGATACCCATTCCTGCCCTGCTCCTTCCATCATCCCACCATCCGTGAGACTAGGGCTGCGAGCTTGGTGGGATTTAGGAGTGGAAGGTGCAGCTGTGGGTCCCTTCATGGCCTGTTCTGGGGTCTCTGCCCTGTGACTTGTGCAGGACAGCAGGATGGCTGTCCAGTCGGGCTGGCCTGCTGACCAGCCGCTCCCCGTCTGCAGCACTCTGGCGCCAGGCGCTCAGGAAGGGACTTTTCCTGTGCTCTGGAGCTGGAGGCACAAGCCTCAGTGTGTGAGGGGCCGCGCCGGGCAGGTTGTGGGCACCCCGGTGGCTTGACGCCTGCAGGAGAGGCGCATGGGGTCCCTGCGGGGGAGACGTGTCGGGCCGGTGATGTCTGTTGCTCACAGCTCCTTACTGGGTCTTGTTTCGTTTATTTTGTATTTTTGGCCACCTGGTGCTACTGAGGGTTGCTTCTGCTCCACTCAGGAATCCCTCCTGGCAGTGCTTGGGGCCACGTGGGTTGATGCTGCTAGAACCCAGGTCAGCTGTGTGCGGGAGGGATCCTGGCTTCCTTTTATTCCGGCCCCCTTAAGTGGGTCGTTTGGGTGTAGTCTTGGCTCCCCTCTAGAGACGGGGACAGACGCACAATCTGAGTTCGCTTCGCAGAGGCCGAGGCACCTCAGGGCCCCTAGGTGGGCCACTCGCTGGGCCCTGATGCTGAAGGAGCGAGCCAGGAGCCATTGTGCCCTAGGAAGGTGGGTGTGCTCCCAGAAGCTTACACGAGGGGGCGCAGCGGTGCCGGGAATCAGGGCCTAGAGCCCGGACAGGAGATGGGGCCCACCCGGAGTGATCCCTGAGTGCTGCCGCCCACCCCCCACAGAAATGCAGTCTGGGGCCATGGAGTGCCCATGTCAAGCACCCCCAGACTGCTGGGCGCCCGGGAACCTGCCTCTTATGCAGGGAAAGAAAGGGCCAGTGAGAGTCACAGAAGTGGCTGGGGCCGAGGGACACATCCCACTGCGGTGGGGTTTAGGGCAAGAGTGTCGGGATTTGTTTTCTGATTCTCTCAGGCCCACTGTGGGTGGCCCTGACTGCCCCCACATCCTTGGGTGTCTCTGGGAGGTGGTTGGTGCCCATCCCTGCGCCCTCCGTGCCACCTCCTCAGGCAGCCCACCTGGGAGGGGATGGGAGGAGGGCTTCTTTCTCTGGACTCAGGGTTTGCTTCTAAGTCCTGGAATCCAGTAGCTTCTTTTCTGTCACCTAAAAGGACGGTTGGAGGGGGGCGCAGAGAGCTCGTGCAGCGGGGAGGGCGCTGGTTGTGTATATGGCTGGACGCCAGGCACCCCACAAGGTCTTCTGAACCCTGCCAGGAACCATCTCTGGGCACAGAGGAAAGGGTGAACCCTGTGCGTTGCTGCTGCAGCCCAGAAACCCTAGGTGTATTTTTTTCTTCTTTGTATGGTCGGGCATGATGGCTGACCCTATCCGCTTTGTTGTACTCTGCAGCTTTAAGTCAGCACATCACAGAACTATCTGGGGGAGAAGGCAAAAAGGAGGTGCTTGGCTAGTCAGAGGCCAGACTTTGTTTGTAGTCATAGGTCACAGTTGGTGATAGGTTGCCAGCGTGTGGGCATTGCTGTGCTGTTTCTTTTCAAGCCATTCCTAGAAATACTCGCCGCTCGCTGCCTTTTCATAACAACTACCTTGGAAGGAAAGAGAAATCAAGAGAGTTACGTTATCGACAGTAACTGCTAAGTGACAAGTCCACTTCCCAGCAGTTCGCCTTTGCTCAAACTTGTTTTGGTTTCCAGCTTACTCTTGCCTCTGCTCTGGGGTGCTGGGGTGGCCCCCCGGCCAGACGGTCTCTGGCCCCTTGGCTCACACGTGGAACCAGCTGTGTGTGAAGCATTCGGGGCCCGTGTCGTCCGGCAGGCAGCGCGGTTGGGAGGTTCCCGCGTGAGTCTGTTACTCGAGACTGTTGCTGTGATTGTGTGGGTTTATCTGCAGGTCAATCTCTGAGAGGTGCTCGGTGAGTCACCACAGCCCCTGGCGGTCCCCGCCACAGCCACCGCCTCTGCCTCCTCCTCCCCCTCCTCCTTAGCTTTCATGTCTGAAAGTCACCTCTGTTGGACTCTGCTGCGGTGGCCCTTTCTTGATGAGAATGAATGCCAAAGCCTGCAGCCCCCAGACATGTGGCCGAGCCCCCGCAAAGCCCAAAGCCCTGGACATGTGGCTTAGCAGCGCACTGTGTGTTCCTGAAGGAAGCACTCTCAGGAGCACAGCAGAGCTCCTGGCTCAGGGGACTCTTGTGCCCTCGGCAGTGGCATGGTTTGGTGGGTTATTGGCGGCAGCTCCCTGGGGACCAGAGTGATAATCCGGCTGCTGGAGGCGCAGGCCCCGGGGAGGCTCAGAGGGCAGGAACTGGTCCAAGCTTTCGCTTCCAGGAGTTTTTCCAGTGTGAGATCTGGCACCTGGCAAGCATCGGGCAAAGTTCTGGAGGGCTGGCGCCTGGCCTAGAGACACCCCCAGGAGCATGACTGGGCACATCTGTGGGGGGTGGGGGTGGGGGTTGTCTCTTCCTGCGGGGTGGGGCTGGGACATGGCTCCTCCCACAGGGTGTGGCCGAGGGCAGGTGCTGCAAGGAAAGCCGGTGGTGAGGTACATGTTGGTGGCACATTGGCACTGCAATCCAAACGTGTGGGAGTGTTGTTCACACCAGTTCAGCTGCACGGGGAGATGGTCCTGCTCCAGGGTGCTCTGTGATGGGGGGGGGGGGAGTGTACGGGTGCATGGGTCACCCTGAGGTGGGGCCCCGGCAGGCAGGGTGCTGTGTGTGTGTGTGTGTGTGTGTGTGTGTGCGTGCGCGCGCGAGTGTAGTGTGTGCACGTGCATGGATCACCCTGAGGTGGGGCCCCAGCAGGGAGGGTGCTCTGTGGGTTTGTGTGTAAGTGTGTGGCTATGTGTGCATGGGTCACTCTGACATCGGCCCCCAGCAGGAAGGGTGCTCTGTGAGTGAACGTGTGCATGTATGTGTTCATGGATCATCCTGAGGTGTGTGTGTGCATGGCCCTGAGGTTGGGCCCCAGCAAGCAGAGTGCTCTGCGGGGGGGAGAGAGAGAGAGTGAGAGAGAGAGAGTGAGTGTGTGTGTGTGTGTGTGTGTGTGTGTGTGTGTGTGTGTGTATCTCATGGGTCATCCTGAGGTCTGGCCCCATCGGGGTACTCTGCGTGTGTGTGCATGGGTCACCCTTAGGTCAGGCCCTGACAGGCAGGGTGCTCTGCGGGGATGTGTGTGTATGTGTGCACGTAACATGCCCATACATATGTGTGTGTGTATGTGAGTGTGCATCTTTCCTCACAGGCAGTGGTGTGCATGGTGCAGGTGTTTGTGGGTGTGTGGGAAGAAGTACCCAGGATGTCTACCCAGGATGTCTGTATGAGTGCGCAGGACAGGCCCTGGCCACTCTGACAGGTCTCTCGCGAGCTCTGAGCCCCTGTCCACAGCCCGGCTCCCCCCTCCACCTCCGTCCTGTGCTCGCCCCCATCCTGCTGTCCCCCACACTCCTGGCATTACATAAGATTCCTGTCAGGAGCTTCCTGTTTTGCCCGTGAGAGGAATTGTGACTCCTGCAGGGAAAAACCCTGTGCTAACATTAGCTGCGGCCGCGGGCGGCCAAGGCATGAGCTCATGTGGGAAGCACCGGCTCCGTCTCTCCGCTCCTGTGCTGGGGTTCCCTCCCGTCCCTCTGGGGAGCGACCCCAGCTCTTGGGTGTGATGCTGGCCTGGGGGTGGGGGTCACCGCGCGCTCGGGCACACCTCCGAGGAGGGACATCCATTTGCTGTTTGGTCTGTTGGGTTACAGGCCACACCCGGTGGGCTCAGGAGACCAGATTCGGGTTGGCTGTCTGTGTGGCAGGCACCTTCCCCACTGCTCTCTCCAGCTCCTGGACATCCCCTTGGAGCCCGTTTCTTTTGGGAAGCAGTCCCCCATTCGCATGTAAGCTCCTAGGCCCCCCAGCCCACATCTCAGGGCTACTTCCACTCCGCCTATATCTAAAGATGTGCCCAGGCCAGCCCGACTCCTTCCCTCATCCTACCACTGTGCCAAGTGCCCGGCTCCCACCTTGGGGCCACTGCAGCCAGGTCAGGATCACAGGACCCTGGCGCTGTCCTTTCAGCCACCAGCCCTGCTGTATGTGCATGTGTGGTGTGTGCGCGTGTGCGTGTGCGTGTGTGTGAGAGAGAGAGAGAGAAAGAGAGTGTGCCCTGATGATGGCCTTTCAGCTGCCAGCCCTGCCACGTGTGTTGCTGCCCCCAGCCCAGTCCCCAGCCCTGTCCCTGCCGGGTGACCGCTCACCCTGGCCCTTGTCTTACAGAACCGTCATGTCCTGGGGCTTGCTGGTCACTCTTTGATGTCCTCAGTGCTTTTGGCATCTTGCTGTTGTTTGTTTGGGGTCACACCCAGTGGTGCTCAGGGTTCCCCCTGGCTCTGCAGTTAAGTCTTTCTTCCTGGTCACTCAGGGACCATATCAATGCTGGACATTGAACCCCGGTTGGTCGCGTACAAGACAAGCACCTTACCCGCTGTGCTATCGCTTGGGCCCAGCTCTCACATCTTTAAAACTGAGAAACAGTTTCTCACATTTTAAAGAAATTCTGCAGTCCCCTCCCTGGTGTCATTTCAGCTTGGGGCTTGTGTGCCTTTGCTTGCCCTGCAGAGTCTGGAGCCCCAGTGGGCTGCCTCTGCTGAGGCTTCCTCTCCTCCTACTAGGTGCTGTGGTCACAGTCCACCTGGACCCTTCAGGCACGCGAAACTCCCTCTGTAAATGAACTGGACTTAATAGCCTAAGGGGGGGGCGGGGAAGCCACCTGCTGACCTCTGCAGGCCTCCAGCCGGCCGTGAGACACTCCATCTGGCTTGGTGACTGCATTCACCGGCAGGCAGGAGGCTGCCCAGCACACAGCCTGTTTCCTTTAGACTTTTGTGGGGTCCTTGTTTGAGGAGGGGCCCCCTCCATGGCCATGGTCCTCGGCGGTATCCTCCCTCTCTAGGCCCCAGTTACTGGAGGTGGGAGTAGACCCAGTGGGCACGTCTCCCCCTGGCAGGTGTCCAGGAAGGAGGAAGACTGTAGGCCAGTAGTGGCTACCCAGCAGCCTGGGGCGTGAGGGAGATTGAGGGGTGCCCCCCACCTCCCACACACCTTCTTCCCTCAGGCCCGGACTCGGGCAATGCCCCCTCACTCCAGATTCTCCTCCCGAAGCTCGCTCTGGCCTCTGCCCCACCCTGGAATGCAATGCTCGTCCCGCCGGGAGCAGACCAGGACCTCCTGGAGCTCCGTCAGCACAGGGGGCTGGCGCTACCTGGGCCGGGCAGGAAATCTCTGCTGCACGCCGCAGACGACAGCGGGTGCATGTGTTGGGGGTCTGGAGGCCCTTCTGGGGAGGCCGGGCCGTCTGAAGACGCGTTGAAGACAGGCACCATCTCCTCTCCTCATTCTCCGCTCCCAGCCGGCGCGCTGCAGGCTGGCGGCTGCAGGAAGAGCTGATAAGGTGCCGAGGACAGAGAGCCTGCCTTATCTCCCCCATGCACGCGGGCCCGGAGTGCTCCCTCTTCCTGCCCAGGGCCGGAGACATAAACCCACCATCTCCTGCAGCCCCCCTTTCCCGGCCTTGGCAAGCCAGAGAGGAGAAAGTGGGGCGCGGCCACTCCAGAGGCTGCGTGACTGGCATGACCGAGTAGGTGGGATGGCCGGGTGCTGCTCTGTCCAGTGGACTCACACAGGGCCTGAGCTTGGCCTGGAAGCCCGAGGTCTGCCGACCCGCAGGCCAAGGGCATAGTGATGCCCTCTGACCCTCAAAGCGTCACTGTGTCAGTGCAGCCAGGTGGGTAGTGACGCCCCCAGTCCGGGAAGTGTTGTACAGTTCTGTTCTCTGGGTATTTGGTGCTTTACAAAAGCCTCGGAGACTTAGAGGAGAAAAACCCCCAGTGGCCCAGGAACCCCTTGTGCGGGCACGTGGGACCGTGGACTTTCCCCAGGGATGACCCTGCCCCCTCCACAGCCTGTAAGTTGAAGGTGTGCGGCAGGTGGGTGAGGAGTGAAGGGCCCTGTCAGGAGCCCCCTGCAATCGACCTGAGGGTGTGGGGCCACGTGGGATTAGCTTTCGGAAGCCAGCTCTCTGGTTTGATTCCTGCCTGTTCTCTCGGCGAAGCATCCTTTGCAGTGAGAGCCCCGAGGAGAGAGACTCCGGCTCTGGTTCCTTACTGGAGTCGCAGCCTCGTTCCTGCTCCTCCCGTCCACCACTGTCTGTCCGAGCCAAGAGGGGGCCTTTCTGCGGTTCGTTTTCTTCGTCTCGATTTCCCTTGTTCCTGCATTGACTGCACAGACTCATTTCCTACTTAAAAAACGTGCAGTTCTCTGAGATGGCACGATGGTAGAGAGATTACTCCTGAACTCATGGGTTCCAGAGAGTCGTATGAAAGATTTACATGTGAAATTTGGAATTTGAGAAGTTGGGGTTCACTGCAGGGTCTGTAGATGGGCCCTGTGTCCGGTTCTCTCTTCTCCCCCCAGTACCAGGTCACTTGTCCTGTCCCCCGATGCACTGTCCAGCATAGGACATCCCAGCCCCGTCCCTCACTGCCTGCCCACTCCAGGGTATGGCGACCCGGTCCTGTCCCCGTGCCCGTCTCCATACAGTGTGTGGGTCCTGGTCTGGCACCTGTAGCTGGAGCCCTGGGCCCCACATCCCCTGGCTGGGCCTCTTAGGCCTGTGTCTTAGTCTCTGGTCACATGCTCGCAGGAGAGGGGCAGCAGAGGCCAATAGCCAAGGGCCTTTATACTTGCTGCTGTCCGGGGGGCGGGGGGTGGGGTGGCCCAGGGCCCCCCTCCCCCCCACCCCCGATCCTGGGCTCCTGACCTAGAAACCTGGTTATTTTTAGATGCCTAGAGACAGGCATCCACATCCATCACTCAGACGGCAGAGGGACCTCATCTGTCCCCGCCGGATCCACCCCAGGTGTACGTGGCTCTCCTGTGGCCCTGGAGGGGCCCAGCCGCTGAGGCTCCCTCAGGCACGTGGCCATGGCTTGAGCAGCTGGTGGGCGAGTGGGGAGGAATGGGACTCTGGTGGCCACTGAGCTACCAGCTTGTCCGTGTGGGGCCCTGCCTGGGTGCCCTTCCCTGGCCAGGCTGTCCTTTACAAGCCTGTGTGTCCAGTGGAGGGCACACACACACACACACACACACACACGCACGTGCGCGCGTGCATGAGTGCACACATACACCTCTGAGAGAGCCCTCTGCCCCTTTACCACATGCCAGCTGGCACTGTAAGTCCTCACACATGCGGTGACCCTGAGGTTTCTACTCAGTACCCAGAGCCCCTGCAGTTCCCTGGGGACTGACCCTCACCTTCCGGGACCTGGGGACTCAGAGTCCTTTCTGGGGCCCGGCAGCCCCCCTGAACCCCCTCCTCGACCCCTAACTCATGTCCCTCTCCTACCATCCTAGGATGACTCCCCCGTGGCCACTCCAGATGCCTCGGGCACTACCACCAGCACCATCAACATCCATGAGTACTTCGCCCAGCGCATGGCTGCACTGAAGGGCAAAGCCCCTTCCTCAGTGGCAGGACCAGACCCTCCAGAGACCCCCGTGGTAGGGAAAAGGGCCAAGAAAAGGAAGAAAGAGGCCAAGGACAGACATATGGGCCTGACAGAGCAGCCTGGGGCCACAGAGCAGAGTGATGGTCTCCAGGACGAAAACACTGCCAGCCCTGCCACAGAGGCAGACGGCTGGACGCAGCCACTCGAGGACACGGATGAGGGCACTCATCCTCCAAAGCCCAAGAAAAGGAAAGGAAAGAAGCAGCTTCTGCAGCAGGTGCAGGCAGCAGAGGAGACGCCATCAGGTGACACAGCAGTGAAGAAGAAGAAGAAGAAAAAGAAGAAAAGTTCCCTGGAAATTCCCTAACCCTGCACCCCGCTCTCTCTTCCAGGGACAGTCCGCAGGCAGGGACAGGGACAGGTCCACGGGCAGGGCCAGGAACAGGGCCACAGGGACAGGGCAGGAGTTGTCAGCATGTCCTCAGTGGCCACACGGAGGAAACGAGGCATTCCAGCAGACTCAGGCACATGCTGAGGGGTGAGGTGGCTCCGTGCTGTGCCTGTTCCCCTCATACTGCGGGTGTCCACTCTCTCGCCCTGGCCTGCACCACTCAGCCTGGCCAGCGTCCACTTGCAGCCCACAACTGTCTACTCTCTCAACCTGGGAGCCGTCTACTCTCGCTGGGGGGCCGTCTACTCCCTCAGCCTGGCAGGTATCTACTCTCTCGGCCCTGCTGGTGTCCACTCTCGGGCTGGCACCCACTCTTAGCCCGGCCGTATCCACTTTCGGCCCAACTTGTCATAAGTGGGAACCTGCTTCCCGCAGGAGGACTTGCCCTCATTAAAGAATTAAGATGCCAGCGTTTGGATTCTGAGTTCTGTTTATTCTGTCTCCAACCATCCGTGGTGCCAAGTAGGCGTCACCTTCCCTATACGGCAGGCTGGTCACTGCTCAGACTAGACAGACGTACCTTGTCCCCAAGAGCACGGGGTTGGCATGTGGAGTCTTCGGCACCCCAGGGAGGCCTTGCCAAGAACAGGGGTTCACCTGGTGGAGCTGTGGCCCCTCGGTACCATCCTGGATCGTTGGACATTGAGTCTCCCCCGGGCGCTCCTGGGGCCTGACGTATCACACCTGTGCCTGCTGCCATCCAGAGATGCCACTTGTGGCTCTTACACCGGCCCTGACACGCCTGCCGTGGCATGACCCCAGGTGGGAGGAAGTGGCTGACACTTTGCCTGGGAGCGAGACCCTGGGTTCTGTGCTGGGCAGAGATGCCCCCCCTACCTGCTGGGTGCAGTGGACACTGACACACAGGAAAGTGGGACAACTCCTAGGGCCGGAGAGAGTACAGCGGGCAGCGCTCTGGCCTTGCACACATCTGACCCTAATCCATCCCTGACACCCCATCTGGTCCCCCAAGCCCTCCAGGAGTGATCTCAACTGTAGAGCCAGGAGTGAGCCCAGAGCACCCCTGAGGACACATGCTCACCCTCTCAAGCCCGAGGCCTCATGTCCTGTGGCCCTGGAGCTTCCCCCTGTCCCCCCACCCCTCTAGCTCCAGCTTCCCTGTGCGATAGAGCGGCTGAGGGTTTTGGGTGCCCTCACACAGCAAGGCCTGTGGCTGGCCTCTGCTTGTTGGGTCTCAGCCTGGAAGGAGAGTTCCAGAAGGCAGTAGGAGGACAGTGGAGGGAGGTGCAGAACAAGAAACCCCAGTGGGATCGCTGGGACTGTTGCCTGGCTGTGGGCACCCGCCCGAGCTCCTGGAGAGCGTTTGACCAGGTCATGCAGCTGTCCTGCACGGGATCAGGAGAGGCAGCTTGGTTGCGGGCATGGGAGGTCAGAGGGAGCAGATGAGCCCTCACCCAGCCTGCCTGCACCGTCCAGGGCAGTGCTCAGTTCTGGGAGGGGAGGAAGGGTCTCAGGAAAGGATTTCCCCCAGGACCCGTGCAAAGAACTCCCCCACTCCCTCCTCTTCCTTGTCGGAGGATCTTGGCCCCTGATCCCCACTGCCCCAGCGGCCTGGCAGCCTTCGCACTGACCCCGCTCGTTCACGGCTACTGAGTGCTCAGCTCTGTTTCATTGACCAGCTGAGAAAATGAGTTTGGGGAGGGCGCTGACTTTGCACACAGCCCTCCCGGGGTCAATCCCGAAAACTGTATGGTGCCCCAAGCCTTCCAGGAGTAACCCTGCACATCTCTGCCTATGGCCCTCAATCCGAAATAGCACAAAGGTGCTCAGGGCCCAGTGAAGGGAAGGAGTCCAGCCCCCTTGGCCGTCCCCTCAGCTCCACACTGCCCACTGCGGGCCTGGTGGCTGCCTGGCCACAGCTGAGTGGGAACACAGGGACACTGGGGGACTCCTCTTTGGGGGTTTTGTTGTTTGTCGGACACACCTGACTGGGCAGAGCTCACTCCTGGCTCTGCACTCGGCATCCCTCCTGGAGTGCTCGGGGGACCACATGGGGTGCCGGGACTTGAACCCCAAAAGGCTGCTTTCTTGTCTGCTCCAGAGTGGGTAGGAATCGGGAGGTGATTTGGTCCCTTCCACCTGCTGGTCCCATAGGGAGAATTTCTCCCCGAGGGTCGGGCATGCAACAGGATGGCCCCAGCAGGCCTTTGTTCCTCCGCCCACACCTGCTGGCCAGGCCTGTCTTGTCAGAAGCCACGCCAGAGAAACATGCAGCTGATCTCCCTCGATCAGGGTGACCCAACCCTGCCCGTGTAGTTCCAGCTTGCAGCTCTGGCTGTGGAACCCCAGGTCAGGCGGGGTGCTCTGTCCTGGCATTCACAGTGCTCACTACTGGGGCAGAGGCGCTTCTGGCCTGATGAAGGGGCCTGTGGTCAGCATGAACTCAAGGACATGCTCGCAGGGCAACCCTGTGTGGACTCTAAACGCAGCCCAGCATTTCTGGAAGGTGGGCAGTGACCTGCAAATCCACTGACCCAGAGAATCTGGGTTCACCAAGGTCCCCACTGCCCCATGCCCTGCTCTGAGATGACGCCCACACTGCGCTCTGCCAGACTGCTCGAGAGCCTCGGCCCAGCCTCTGCTCCCTCCCGTGTCCACTTGGCTGTGGCCTCTCACTGCACCTCTGCCCGGGCTTCACATGGGGTTTCCGCTGTGCCCCCCAGAAAGGGCAGGAACCAAGGATGAGAGAAGGGGGACAGAAACAGAACATTCCAGTCACAGCAAGGGATTGTAGTCAGCCAGGGGCCATGGTCACAGCTGCAGGCCGTGTGGTCAGCCAGGGACCATGGTCATAGCTGAGAAATGTATGGTCAGCCAGCAACAGTGATCGCAGCTGGGAACTGTGGTCACGGGGTGGGGGGAGGGGCTTCTGTGGTCATATCCAGGGTTTGTGGTCACATCTGGGGCCTGTGGTCAGCCGGGGGCTGTGGTCCCAGTGGGGATTGCAGTCAGTTGGTGGGGGGGGAGAGGGGCGTTGTGGTCACAGCCGGGAGTTCTGTGGTCACAGTGGGGACTGTGGTCACAACCAGGGTTTGTGGTCACAGTCGGAGGCTCTGGGGTCAAAACGGAACATTTGAGAAAAACTGAAGTCCTGAAGTCGAGGAAGGCCCACAGGGGTGCCCTGGCATGGCCTCTGCCAGTCTGCACCCTGGTTGTGTGCCCCGGGGGTTTGACTTAGGGGGGAACAGGCTGGTTGGCTGGTGGAGGAATGTCAGCCCCAGACTGTCCCCAGTTCTCAGGACCCCAGTCTGGGCACTGTGGAGGGGACCAGGGTGGGAGCCAGCTCTGCACCCCCCACAACCCCTCCCTGGGCTGGGATTAGTCATTTTGCATGAAAAAGTTTCCAGAAGCTGAGCTGTTAGTTGTCCCTCAGGGAGCTGGGAACAGGGCTTGAGACTGGGGGTGGCAGATGCCACTGAGTGGGCAGGGCAGGGCAGGCTGCTCAGTGAAAGGGGACTGAGGGGGGTGCAGGATGGCAGGACTCTCCTTACCAGGGCACGCGAACTGCCCTGGATTTCTCCTTTGCCAGTTTGGGTTTTTTGGACATGAAGCGCACCCAGCAGTGCTCACCCCTTGGTGCACTTGTGCTGGGCTCCGTGCAATGCTCGGGATGGAACTGGAGGTCTCTGCAGGCCTGCGCTCCAGCCCTGAGACAGACACACACATATTCATGCACACACGCCTGCACAGCCTGCACTACACCAGAGATAGGTGTGTGCACACACGCGCACACACACATGCGCACATGCACACACGCATGCACATACACTCCCTGCACCCGCTTGCCAGGCTCCTCACGGTGAGGGCTGCCCACCATCTGCACCCCTACAGCTGCTTCATGTGCTACCATGCCCACTGCCCTGGGACCCCTGCAGCTGCCCCCAAGATCCTGCTGGCCTGGTGCTCTCATGCTCTCTTGCAGAAGGGACCTCCAAGTTGTGTGAGTCCCAGCACAAGCAAAGACCCTGGGCCACCCCTGGGTACTCTTTTTTGGCCCCCAACCTGAGCACCCACAGCCCTTCCCGGCCCCTGAGCGCCCACAGCCGTGCTCACATGCCTGCTGCGCGGTGGCTCAGGACCGAAGGAGCAAGGAGCGCAGTGGAACGTCATTCTGTTCATGGCAACCCTCAAGTTGGATGGATAAGGGATGAGCTGGGCCCGCGGGGTAGAGCTTCGCCTTGTGCTTGACGTCCTTTCTTTCCTCCATGGGCTGAGAGACCATCTCCCCCAACCGGGTGGCCTGCGGGCAACGACCTGTCGTGGCTGGCGCCTGGGGTCAGCTCGGACACTGCCGGCCCCACTAGTTTCCACGATCGTGATCTGACTGAGTTGAACGGCTGGCACGAAGGTTCCGCCTGGGCTGCTGTGTTTTGAAAGTGACAAGTGTCAGCACTCCCACACTGCCAAGTTGCTTGTCTGACCCCTGGGACTCCTCCAGAGTTTTGCCTTGAGCCGATGCCCCGTCCAGCCTCCTCTGGGAGGGGAATTCTGCAGCAGCTTCCCAGCAGACTCTGGACCCCAGAGCAGCAGGTGTGGCGTGTCCCAGCAGGGCTGGGGGTCCCCGGGAGGTGGAGGAGGATCCTGAGGCCAGCTGGGGCGCGGCCACCCCTGACTCGCCCTCTCCCTCTCAGTGACAGGCTCCAGGAGGTTGCCCTGGGCCGGGTGCTGCAATCAGCCCTGAGGGAGGGATTACCAAATCCCGCCTCTGCGGTGGGGCCAGGCTGTGAGGAGCTGTGTGGGCCCGTCCTCCGGGGGGGGGGGGGGGGGGGAGGAGCAGAGGTTCAGGTCTGAACCCCACATTGCAGGCGTGGGCCACCTCAAGGACCCCCGGGGGCCCTCCAGCAGCCGGGGGTTGGGGTGCGGGCTGGGGAGCGGATATGGGATCAGCAGCCGGTGCAGAAGGCAGTGGGTGGGGGTTAGTGCTCTCCCTACCCCATCACTGCTGGTCTTAGTGGGGACCCAAGAAGCCCACAGTTCTAGAACAGGAAGGAGCCGCAGAAATATCCTGGCACCCGGCCCATCTGTCATCTTCTCTGTCTCCCATCTTCAGTTCGTCCACTGTCGGCTCATCTTCCATTTGTCCGTCTGTGCGTCCGTATCTCGTCCATCTCTTCGTGTGTCCACCTTTCTACCCATCTGTCCGTCCGTCTGTCCATAGTGATGTGATGAGCAGGGGGCTTCGCAGGCAAGGGCCAGTACTGGGCCCATGTGGCAGAGACCACCTTGAGTCTTGAGTTTCAGGGCCGTCCCTCCTGCAGCTTGCAGACCAGAGCAATCACCCCGACTCCCGCGGTCCAGTCAGAGGGCAGATGAGACTCCAGCTGCTGGCAGCCCCCAAGCTAGCACGGGCCAGGCAGCCTCGGGGGGCTT